ACAATGTAATTGAATTGCATACAGAGATAGAGACGGACAATTGATTCAAGCGCGTGAATCGTTCGTTGTGAATTATAGCGTTTGTGGAAATTAAGTGTATTGCAAAGTTGTATTGAGAAAGAATAAACTAGTATTTTTTTAAAAAAGGACTTGTATCGCTAAAGTTTCTTCGGAAAGAATTTTTACGGAAAATTAACATACGAACACAGAGACGTAACAATATTATTAAAATAATCAATATATTAACAAATCATATAACTTTTTTTATTGGCTTATTTTCAAATTTATTTACTAATTGTAAATTATGTATCTAAAATTCCCCGAAACACTTTTATTTTGGCTCGTTTAATTATGATGGGTCGAGTGCGATTTAGTAGTTTGCATGCTGGACAGAGGACCCGTGGTTCGTCACAAATTTAACAATAAAAAAAGAAAAACAGAAATTGCACTCTGCATTTTGTAGTCGTGTGTACACTATAAGAATGGCGATCGAATCTCACTCTTTTGCTTGACAAGAGTTGGCAGAGGGTATTGTTTCACAAACTGATTTTCCTTCAGTCTGTCATTTCAAATTAAAGTCCGCTAGTGCAAACAGACCTCATGTACCTTTGCAATTAAAATAAACAATTTGTTGTGATATAAAATATAGCATAACAAGCGAAAACCAGATTCTTAGTAAAAACAATAAATTTCTATAACTGTTAATGGAGTATTGAAAGGCTAATTATTATTGTATATTTATAAAAAAAAAAATGTGGTTAAAGGACAGCTTTGTTACCGAAATGTGTCTGATTTCAGCAAGACTTGTAATTCCTTCCTAATTTACTTGAAGAGATTTTCTCAGCCTAACCAAACTACAATTGTCAAGAGTGTTCAATATGATCTAAGTTCTAGCCGTATAGATTATATAATATTATTTTCATTAGAAAGGTGACAGAAAACCATTCGGCCTATAGAGATCACCCATCATCTAAGATAATAACTAAAAACAAGCAAATAAAGAATAATAAAACGTTAATATAAAAAAAAAACATTTCTACCGTTGTTTAAACTGAAAACAACAAGAACTTTGATATGATAATTCATATATATATTGTTACGTCTCTGTTCGTTAGTTAATTTTCCGTAAAAATTCTTTCCGAAGAAACTTTACAGATACAAGTCCTTTCTTAAATAAAACTGGTTTATTCTTTCTGAATACAACTTTGCGATACACTTAAATTCAACAGTCGCGCTTTAAGAAATGCTATAATTCACAACGAACGTCTCACGTGCTCAATAATATTTTCTCTCTCCACAGTTCAATTACACATTACCTTACGTTGCTTCTTGGCCGGTCTTATATATACAAGACTACCCCAATCTAGTTGTCTCTCGACATTTCATGAAGGTTGGAGAAGGAAGTGGCGTGATACAAGCGTCACGTGACCTGCGTTGTCGTAACAATATACTTAACGGGCAGAATTTTGAAATAATAGAAACTACCAGAATAACCCACATCATGGGGTAACCATTTCATAAGTTTATAGCTCTATAGAAATAAAAACTAACGATAAGTCTGCATATACGTTCACAAAGCTTAAACATATTAACTCCAACATTAAAGAATATAACATAATCTTCTCTACTTTCACTCATAAGTTCACCATTCAAACACGCACACACACAACGCATAAGAAAACATTCGACTCACTGACAATTTGGAATATATATTTCAAGCCCCTATTTATTATTCAGAGAAAAAATACACAGCCTACTAATCAGTCTCTTGTAAGGTATCTAAGATCTGATCTTGGGCTTTCTGCAAATCTTAATAAACAATATTAAGTGCAATGTCTTCATCTAAAAATGTGGAGGTCTTATATAAAAAATCCATAATTTATAAGGCAAGAAAATCATTCTCTAAAACTACGCTGAGAACCGTTGATTAGCTGTAAACTTTCTCATTAACGTCTGACAACAGATTTCAAAACCTTACTAACAGAAAAGACAAGCAAATAGGAATATAGTTTTCTGAATTAAAGTTATTTGAAGTTAGTTATTATGTAATTTCATGGTATATCAAACTCATATAAAATAAAATATTTATATCGCCCTCTTTTGGTAGTTGTTGGAAATAAGGGACTTTTTATGAATAAGCTTATAGTCAGTTGTGCCTAGAAATCATGAAGGATCAAACTGTAAAAGAAAGCGAGAAGAATAATAAAAATAAAAATGAAGAAGGAAGTGAAAAAGATCTAGTAAGTGTATTTCTTTAGAAAAAGTAGTTGGCTCAAGTCTGTCGATAAAGACAACAATGCTCTCAACTTTGTATATTATCGCAGACACAGTACTTCATGCTATATACTATACACATTACTTACTGAGAACTACTAGCTTAGGCTTAGCAGTAATACTGGTCTAACCGAGCACGGTTTCTGGTTTAGGCTTACGCTTAAATGCTGTGTCATAGGGTAATACCACTAGTTAGCATTATAAATAGAAAGCTGACACTTCGTTGAATTTTTGAAATGATATATTTTCACTGATGATTCAGAAGAATATAAAATAAAGTAGAAAAGTTATTTCACTTCTTTTTTGAAACTTTATTATTTTCATCAAAAGTTTAATTTACTTGTTACTGGGTAACAAGTTAGTGACTATTTGCTTGGCAGCTGTGTATCAATTAAGAATAAGAGTTTTGTTATATTGTTAGATAAGAATTAAGTACTTCACATTCGTTGTGTTGAGTTTGTTTGGCTCTGCCAGTGAGAATAATTGCTGCATAACTCTAGTCTTGCAAAAAATGACATCTTCCTTAGGCTGTGGTGATTGCAGTATGAATAACAAAACTTGTTAATATTATTAATATTAAAAGGAAAAATTAATTCCTGTGTCTATAAATAGAAAATTCGAGTAAAATTAATCAAAGGGAGTATTTATTTTAGGTTTTTCTCATTTCACAATTTTTGTTATTTTAATAGCTTACTGTACCAATTAAGGTACCTGAGATGGTGTTCAGATTATAAGAGCATAACAAAAACTTGCTTGATATAAAGCTGCTGGGTGAATTGCTGAACTTTCTTTTATATCTGGTCATAGGCAAATAGCCACTTTATTGATTAACAGATTGAATATAGGTGAAAAAGAAAGTTAACCTAGCCTTGTAAGTGGTTTGACTTTACTGGCAATTTTTCAATATGTTACTCAATAATAAACAAACTTAAGTTTTATTAGTTACAACATGAAGGTAATTGTATCCATCAGTGTAAATTGCTGAAGAAAAAGGGAAAGTTTAAAACAGATATATAGAAAGGCTATAATTTCTAGCTTTTTGCATGACTACAAAAATTTGTGGTTCTGTTTTGTCCTTTCTAGATTAATTTCAAATTAGAGCTAGACAGTTAGTGGAATTTGTTAATCAACTGTTAGGCCTACTAATTGGTTACATTTAAATAATTGATTATTCTCATATGAGATTTGGATAGTTGGAATAATAAAAAATAGTAACATTCAAAAACACTGATTTTAATTAGTTGATTATTTTTATGAGTTGTGAAATTGATTAAAATGAACACCCTTGAATTAACTAAAAAGGATAATAAGAAATCATAAAAGCAATATTTTGGTTATTTTGATAGCTGGAATAATCAAAAACAGTAATAATTGGAAACACTAATGTAGTTAATTTTTTGACATGAGTTGAGATTTTATAGATACTCGTAGGTAATCAAGTTAATCACCCCACATATATATATTTTGTTTAGAGATGTGAGTAAGTCGTTTTTTTTATAGTCTGAAGAAGATAAGCAGTTACAGGAAGAACTAGAAATGCTTGTACAAAGATTACGTGTAAGTACCAAGTTTTTAGTGGTGTGTTATAATCTTAAATTTAAACGTATAAGAATAAGGTTGTGTGTATAACATATGTTTTTCAAATTGTCTACATCCAATTATTTATCTCCTTCACCATTAAAGTGGTAAATGGTTTTATTTCATACCATAGTTTCTAAAAATGAAAAGAGCTTGGTATCAGATATTCTGACATTGTGTATAGTGCATTTCTCTCTTATCACATTTATAAGTAATTTAATAAAATATGAGATTTTTGAGGTTATTAAGATAAAAATATATATTCTAATGATTAATTGCAGAGCATTGTCTTTGCTTACTAACTAAAAACTGTTTCATGAATAGTATGCAAATTGTGAACAGCTTAATTACTCATTAAGCAAAATCTTCATATTCACAAAAAACACTTTCCTTAAGAGACTTATTGCATAGGCTCTCTGGTAAAACTTGTTGCTAAATTCTTAGTTAAGAGATTAAACTATTTTCTCTCAAGAAAAATAGATTTTGTGAATTGAAATAAAATCATTGAGTTAGATCAGGAAGATATTTCAACATAAAATCCATCTTTGCTCAACACTTGTTGAACAGTCTACTCTCTTATTAGTAACAAAAAATGTCAGAAATTCCTTTTCTTTTGTGTCTGAAATTTCCACTGAAGCAACCTTTTTATTTGGTAACTTACAAACTGGTATATAAATCAGATATAAAATTTTACACAGGTATTACCTAATTTGAATCCAGTACTACAGACAGAACAAGATGTATATTGTATCTTATGTGAATGTGGTTAGAAATACATTGGACAAACCTCCCATTCTTTGGTAATAAGAAGCAAAAAACTAAAGTTGCATGCATAGAGGAGAATTTCAAAACTTGCTTTAGTGTTTCTTCAGTTCATACCTGGCCATAAGATACTTTGACAAAATTTCTTCTATATCAACAAGAAAGAAAGAAAAGAAAAACTTGATTGTTTAGGAACTTTTGAAAGTATAAAAGGACCCAATTTAGCTCTAAATCATGAGAGTATTTGTATTTTACCAATACTTGAACTGTCCTGTGAACTTTCTTAAAGTATAAACTTCACTTGTAAAATTTCAGGGCTCTCACGTGACAAGATTACTTTGATCTATAAACCCTGTATTCCCATGTATCAGTTGTCTTTGTATATAAACCATGTATACTTTTGTGTTATACCTGCGGAAGACATACCAAGTTACTGCCAAAATGTATGTTTTATGCAATGAAAATCATTGTGTTTACAAATTGTTGTTAATTTAGTACTAGTTTACTACTATCTTAGTGATCAAACTGTTTAATACCATAAGTTGTAATATTTTATTAGGAAGATGATACTAAGTTGTACCTTCCTGCTCTCGAAAGTCTTCGAAATCTAATTCGAGCTTCTACTACATCTATGACTTCTGTTCCAAAACCACTCAAATTTCTTAGACCTCACTTTGGAACTTTGAAAGAAATTTATGAAAAAATGTCAAGTGAGGAAATTAAGGTAAGTTTATCATTGTGAGTGTAAATTAAACTAGCAAAGCTTTATTTATTTATTTCAGAACAGTTGTAATTCACAGTAGTAAACTCTGTGATTTAATGTTACTTTTTCTTGAAAGATCAAAATATACTGGAAAACATTTGGTAACACAAAGTTTTATATACTATTTGAGCCAAAGCATTAGAACAGAACACCCTCATTTAGTAATAGAATTTTCCTAAGTTTATTTGTATATGGCTTCTGTGGTGCATATCAGTGTTAAATGATATAAAGATCAATAGCAATCAGAGACAACCAATTGTGGCTAAAATATCTTGATACAACAAACACTGATCTTCAGTGTGGAATGGTTGCAAAAGTGGCACAGAAAATGTTCTTGTCTGCTTATGCATATCTAAATCCACTCTGGTTAAAGTTCTGGTGGAATGGAAGGGAGTATATGTTATGCCCATGTTCAACTATAGGCAGTTCCTTAAAGTGACTACAGATTGACCCAGGATAACATGAAAATTTTTTCTAAAATTTGATATAAAAAAACAACAACTCACAAATATTATTAGTGTCCAGGTCTGCAAATATCCTTAGTGTGCAAGATACTTCATGCATATAAGATCTTTCAGATGAGCTGCAGTTGATGATCCAGGAATTATGCCAGTGAGGTTGACAGCAGAAACGTGATGTTTGAAACTGTGGGAAACTTCCTTGGGAACATTATATTTTACTACATACTTTTGTCCCAAATGAATAAATATAAGTTTGTTGGTAACCTATAGAATGTTTTGGATACAAGAGTTTTGTTCCAATTATAGAAAGTGGTGTGGGAAGTGTCATTGTTTAATAAAGCTTCTTTTGGTGTAGGTTCATTCCACTTGTAATATTGAAGGGATTCATAAATGCCTCTTATTGCTGTGACTCTTTGGTTAATGCTGGAACGTACCTGCTTAAATAGAATTGTATAGGGAAGTACTATACTTGTTTGAACATGATAATACATCTTACCATAATGTTGCATTATTCAAGAGTAATTTAAGGTATGGGACTTTCATCTTCTGTTTTAGCCAGCTGAGGGCATAACATTAATCTAGCTAGTTGAGTATAAATTAAACCAATCCAAGAAGCTTGCTACACCTGTAACTTATTTCAGTACAAATTTTTGTTGCCAGTAACGAGACTTAGATTGTGATCACTATAAAAGTGAGTCAACACCATATTAAGTTTTGAATTCAGCAGTTAATTATAAACTCATTCAAATGGTGTCTTGTACTGATACTTTTGGTTACACAATGTAGAGATGTAAAGTGTGTATTTACAGACATAATTACTGTAGGTTGACAGATGAATTCACATTGTGTATATGGTTATAATATTGGTGGAATTTTATTTCTCCAACAGAGATTTTGTGCTGATATTGTGTCAATTCTGGCAATGACTGTAAGTGAAGAACGGGAATGCCTGAAGTATCGTCTTCTTGGTTCACGTGAGCCTATTGGTTCCTGGGGTCATGAATATGTTAGGTCAGTGATTGTTTCCACACAGTAGTAATTGAGAAGGTAATTCTTTGCTTTTGTTCTGACAGTTTCTTTAGTATTTTACAGTGGACAAAGAATGCACCAGCTTTTTTTAAAAAATCATTCCATGCATTTGATAAATTCAACATTTCTAATCTTCTGATATAAAAGTGTTGCATGGAATACATGAAGTGTTTATGAAATTTACCAACGTAATAATTTTTGTTTTTTATATTAAAAAAATGTGTGTGAAATTTGTAAATGTTATAACCCTTTTTATTTTCTACCATGAAATAAATTATTCATTAGTTTATGCCTTTATTATCATTTGAAAATCACCCTGGTGATATGCTTGCTTCATAATTTCAGATTTTATAATAACTTTTAAGTTTCATAATTATTAAGACAAATAAGTGAATAACCCTGAAAGGATGTATGAATTTAAACTATACTATAAACTGATTCTTATAGTGTGTGTGCTAAGTTTTTCTTTATGTATTAAAGCAACTGTTCATAGTATATAAATTGTAAGCTTTTAAATCTCTCACTATGGATAGGTCAAAATGCATATGTCATGACCTTTTAACAGAGATATATTCGAAATTTAATTAAACTACTTTATAATCAATGTATATGAATAAGCTTGGCATCAAAATGTTGTTAGTACATCAAATTTGAATATTATATAAGTTTTAAGTTCTTAATTTTATAAGGAAATATTTAAATTAATCCTTAATCTCCCCTGGTAAGAGAATTGTGACATTTTTTGTCTAAGTCTCCCCTTCAGTAATTTATTTACCACCCTTATGTAAAGTATGGAATTTAATGTAAATTAATCATTACAATATAGATATTACTAAAGCAAATTCTAATTTTTATTGCCTTCAGTTTTGGTTATGGAGTTATAAACTAAGAAATTCGACCCACTTGCCATGCCCACCTGTCACATCCTATCTTTCACAAATAGCCAATAGCTCTCCCTGATGTTTAATACTATATTATTTATAACCAATAGAAAGCCAAGGTTTTAATCTATTAAATGAAGTATTACATTGTTGTTGTTTTTTGTGCAGAGAATTGCTTATTTTGCTTTCAGTTCAAACTTTATTCTCATGGAAAACACATCAAAGAGCATTTCAGAATCTTTAATGGCACTTGTCACATAGTTAGAAGCCAGAAAAATTATGATAGTCATGGGACATTGTCTGCTTTTTGCAAGCCATTATTCTGTGTTGTTTGATGCATTATTTAACTAAATAAGAAATTATTTAGTGCAGTAGTACTGTTAGTATAGAAAAGTAGGGTTAACAGCAAAAAAAAAAAAACCCAGGTAAGTACTTTATTTCTTGTTTTTCATGTGTATTCTTTATTTATTATTATAAAAGGAATTAAAATGTAAAAATTAGAAACTCTTTAGGTTAGATTAGGTAAACCAAAGAATAGGAATAAATAATTTTTTTTCACAAGGTACGCTCGCGAGCTACTTGCGAGTAGCTTGTTCATTATGTAATTCGATAGGATAACCTGAGCTGAACATTTGCAAGTGATTTTCAAATTTTATGGCAAGAATATCAGTTAGTCACAGTTCGAAGAGCAGTAAAACAATAAAATTTAAGTATAAACAGATCTATACAGTTATGAGTTTAAAGTTATTAAGGATAAATGTAGTTTCATGTTACAGTTTAAAGTCATTCTAGGAAGAAAAAAGGGTAATTTAGATTTTTTTTCAAATTTCTTTTTGGTGGTTATGAGGTCAGTCAAATTGACCAGCCTTGTATAGAGTTAGGATAGAGAAAATAACAGGTAAGATAAAACGTTTTAGTGGAAAAAAAAACGTTTGATATGTATTTAGGACGTTTTAGAGGTTATGCAAATGAAATTTGAAAATTTTCAGATGAAGAAAAGTATTTTTAATCTTAACATGAAAATCACTGTGCTCAGAGCATTCAACACTCTGGCTCTGTATATTCACAGACAAATCTTTAGTGAAACTATTTAATTAAAAAATCTGATTTTTGTGTACAAAAAACTTGTAATGTTTACTGAAAGCTTGCCAAATTTTGTGAAGATACATAAAGCACATATTAAAAGTTATAGTTTGGAAACTGATGGTTACAAGGTTGGTTACATCAACTGACCCTATGTTGAAGGAGCTTATAGCTTGGTAGCAACACTTTCTCTAAGACATTATTCATGTGAAACACCTCTCTTTCTGTCACAAGCTGAAATATGTCAAAGTATTTAAGCAATTCTTTATTACAGTTTGTTACTGATTAGTTTGATGTTTGTTAATAATCTGAAAATAAGAAAATCAGAACTTCTAAACTTTTAAGGATTATTTTACTTTAATTTAAAAACTTGTATTTATGCTGTATGACTCCAATCAACATAAGTTTCTATTAAACTCTAGAAACTTGCAATGATTAGGAATTCAGTTGTAATGATAAAGGATTAAATTTGCTTAATTAAAGTTTGTTGGCTCTAGAACCTTTGTGATAATACAGTTCATATGCAACATACTGGTAAATAGAGAGTAATATTAATTTTCAGTGTTGAAGGGGCAAATTTATTTAAATGTAAAAAGATGTAATTGTAGTTTAGCGTAATACTGATATACAGCGAAACCTCATTAACCTGAGTGCATTTGTAAGGAAGAAATATCTTCTAGATTATTGAGACATCTCAATAGTTGAATCAGCCAATTTGAATACAGTGGACACTGTTAATAGCATATGTTATCGGTCAATAAATGTGAAAAGTTGGCATTCAACTGGTAAACAAAAACAATTATGTACATTAAACTTAGCAGTTTATTATTGCATATGTTGCCAGTTTAATTCATTATACAAAATGCATAATCAGAGTGGCATGTTATGTCATTAATTTCACATAAATGATCATTTTATTTAAATCCGTGACTTAATGAAAGCACATAGTAAATGCATTGCTTTCTTGTATAAAAAAATATCATGAAACCTAATGTGAATGAAGGTCATTGTTCAGAAAAATTGTTATAAACCGGCACATACTATGACTGCAGATGTTTTGTGTTCAGTATTATCATCTTGTTTCCTGCACTGAACGAATCCTACTTGACACTTGTGAAGTCATGTACAGATGACTGACTCATTTAGCCATAAGAAATGCATTTTTCTTATAAGAGATAGCTGTTTGGACTTGGAGAGTGAATATAAAGGTTATTGATTAAATTTCCTGTCTTGGAGATTTGTCAATATGAAAAAGTCATTTAGATTGTGAATAATTCAAATTGTTGATGTATGGACTAATGAGGCTTCACTGTAGTTTAGTTTACTACTCAGTTAGAAAACCCTACCACAACATTTTAAAATGATCATTTTTTTAGTGGTCATAAATTTAGGAATTTAGAATTTTGTTAAACAAGACCGATGTCTGTAGGTTTACTTTCTTCTTAGACGCGTTTCGAATGCATTCTGCATCCATTATCAAGGCTGAATGTTGTGTTGAATTGTGATTACTGTTGGTGGATATTTATAGTATGGGTAAGCAGGTGGTGGTATCTAGCTCGTGGAAGGCGTTAATTGGTGGAGTGTTGTATTGTGGCTTGTGGGTTTCTCGCCAAGAAG